ACTTCTGCATCTATTTCCTTTGATATTTCCGCAATCTTCTTCTTCAAATGCCGCCTAATAGTGCGTTTGCATTCGTGCCTAAACATTTGAACAATAAGAAAAATGGGTTAATGAATCAAAAAAGGGTATAAGAGATTGAAGCAGAGAGCAGTTGATAGCACACGCTGCATGCGATACGCAAGCAATAATGGCGACGAGCATGCGGCGTGGGAGCACCGATAGATCAAGCGCGCCAGCCAATCACTGTGAGAAATCGATAAACTCGCCGACCAATCAGGTGACGAGATAGCCCTATCGCGAGATTTCCGCTATAAGAGTGCATCAGGCAGCTCTTCAATGCTACTAGGTCGGAGTCAGTAGGCTGACGGATATGATTGATGCGTGCGTGGGCTGAAGAGTAGCATGCCCGAAATTTGACTTCATCAGAAAGGACAAGAAGAAGGGCCTGCAACTACAGAATCTGGAGGGTTATTGTTGAGAGTCTATTAATAAATCCAATTGACACGTTTTATCCTTCGATGCTGTGTGCAAAATGTTACCCCAGAAAACCTCTGGGATGGTAGGGTACATCTGTATTCAACATATTAGACGAGTATCCATCGTTCTACGAAAAAGTCCCAAAACTGAGTGGCAAACACAACGACATTACTTCTAGTGTAAGCCCAAAGTCTCTTTCATTAATGTGCATCGTACTGGAAGATTATGGCAGTCCTACTGCAGTGCTGGTGTTTGAATGTGTAAGTGTATGGTAGGCCCTGCAAGGACTGATCCCCTGACGTCCGATCCAATATGACTGAGAATTAGAGAATTGGTCGGGAGCAACCTGCGAGCGATTGGTGAGGTCGACGTGAAGGATCACTATCGAGCCCGTGTCGTGCTCGGACATCGCTAAGTAATTGCTAGCCATGCTCGAGACAATTTGGGATTGTTGACCATGTTAGCAAGTAGAATAGGGACTTTGCTCTGGTGTCCGTCATTTCCAGCGGCAGCAGAAGCAGTAGTTCAAGACGAAGTCTCTGTTAACCCGAAGACAGGCTAAGACGCCTGCTGTCATCCGAGTTATGCATGGACCAACTGACACGTCCAAGTTAGTCCGTGAGGAGGTTCTTTCAAAAATCTCAGCCTGTGTCGAGAATTTCAAAGGCTCCTTTTCGACTAACTTTCTGGCCGATAATGGCAACATTCAATTGTCGGTGGCTTGGATCCGCTAGACTTGGTATTGAGTGCGGAAATTCGGCCATTACCTCGATATCCTCGGAGGGCAACACGACTTATGGACGATACCGTTGTGCTGAAAAGACAATTCCCCTCGTTACCAGTCCTCTGATGTTGGTTCTACCGTAGTGTGATACTGGGCATGCCTACACATCGCCGGAAGACTGGATAGTGTCGATGAGGTTAAGTGCAAGCGAATGCAAAAAAACTAGGGACCGCAGCTGAAGGGCCGAATGAAATGCCCTACTCAATGGTTGTTCAATGAGTTCGGAAGAAATATCAGTACGCCATTTGCTTGTTGGTCAGAGCTGATTCGTATTCTGCCTTTACAAGTTTCAATCTGCCACGCGTTTTCAATGCTGTGGAGGAGGGAGAGGGGAGGGGTGCATCATAAGTTCGTGGCCTTTCGTTGCGCTCCCATGCATTGTTCAATGCCAAAATGTTGCCTGCAAAAAGGAATCAAAAGATAGGCCGCATGACAACCTGCTGTTTTGAAGTTGATGCAGTCTGTCTGAGCAAGATCAAAGAAGACAAAATGAGGGGTGCAAAAACCCGAAAATAAAACCTTAAAATAGATTACTACAATAACACAAGAGAGGAGTGCAGCGGTCTATTTTGCATGAATGCCACTCACGTCTAACTGGATACCCCTCGACCCAGTCGACATGACATACGCCCCTGGGAGGCGGTGGCGTGAGCACCGCTCGCGGATCAACTTACTCAGTGTCAAACCTTGGGTGATCCGAGACTTGGGCTGACCGTGTTACTCAGTCGCTGGTGAGGCGGGAGTTGCTATTTCGGTGTCTTGGTCTTTGTCAGTATCGTTGCTCAGGCACAGGATGCAGAAGGTGATCCGATGGTCAGAGTGGAAGCGAAGAGGGGTCGAGCATATGAGAAGGTCTCTCAGTTTTGCAGTTCCGTTTTGAGATACGTTATCGGAGATATAGAAAAGACAGGATACGGACCAGCTAGAGGTGGAAGGCGTTTGGCCAGAAGCATATCTGTTTCTTGCAACTGGCTACACGTTATTTGTTCAAGTGAAGTAGAATGAGGCTCTTCTGCACCCTTAAAACTCACTGCGCATCAGTAAGCACTGGT